GAACTAAACTGCAAAAGAGTACCAGGCTCAGATGCTGTCACAAAAGATTTTGTTTTTCATTAACCCCAAAGCATTTATTGAACATGTAGATATGTTTTCTTTTCTTTGCTCAGGTGATTAGCATTTTAAAGATGTGAAGGCCTAAATTCATGCCTGTAATATAAAAAATTATATGTGCTCTGTCTCCTTGTTTTTTGCAAATATTTAAGGTATGCAATGCATTGTTTCAGTGTACTTACACGTGGTGACATGATTACAATGGTCAAGTAAATCAGTATGTCCATCTCACAGAAAATTCTAACATATTCTTTACAGGAGATAATTCTCGTAAACTACATCAAAGCATGGAAAATTAAGAAAGCCACACAGTTCTCTTTTAATGTAGCAATATGACATTAATATCAATGCCTGACAAAGATTTCATTAAAAAACAAAAGCAAGACTAGGGACCAAATTTTATTGTTAATATTGATGAGGAAATTCTAAATAAAAAATAGTGAACTGAACCTAGTAACACATTAAAAGAATTTATAATTTTATATAAAAATCTATTAATATAATTCATTTTATTAGTAGATCTAATGAGAAAAATACATCACACTCCATAGATGCTGAAACCTGACATCTTTTTGATTAAAATAAATTGTCTAAGTGAGACAGGTCGTTTTTGTTACATGACAAATATATTTGTATCATAGTCCCAAACCTGGACCCTTAAAAAAATTAGAAGTATTCCCATTAAAGTCCAGAATAGGTAAGAATGCTTGTTGTAAGCACCATTCTATATTGTGCCAAATTTTACACTGAACTAGCAAATAAGAGAAAGAAAATAAAGACATAAAAATTGGAAAGCAGGTGGCAAAACTATTGCTATTGTGAAGAATTATTCATACATTAAAGAAGTATTTAATGTATGAATAATTGCTATAATCTAGGTACCAGTTAAAAAAGATGCTAAAAATTTATTTTGTTTATGTTATTATATTATTATATACCTGAAAAATAAAGGGAGTCTGTGAAAAGCTACCACAGATGATGTAAAATCTTAGTACAAAGTTAGTAACCAGATATCAACAGCATATATATGTGTGTGCGTGTTGAGCCCAGGAGTTTGAGACCAGCCTGGGCAACATGGTGAAACCTTGTCTCTACAAAAAATATGAAAAATTAGGCTTTGTAGTGCATACCTAGTTCCAGCTACCTGGGAGTTTAAAGTTGGAGGATCACCTCAGCATGGGGAGATCCTGGCTGCAGTGAGCCACGATGGGCAAGAGAGTTAGACCCTATCTCAAAAAATAAAATTAAAAAAGATGTAAGAAAGTACCTTAATCTCAGTAGAAACCTGAAAGAATAATATATCTAAAAATAAACATAGCAAGATATGTGCAAGACCTGGATGAGGAAAATTTTGTGTTTTGAAGGACACCAAAGACAAATCAAATAAAGACATTAATTCACCCTGTATTAATTTTAGAATGTGGTATGATCTTAGTGAAAATACTGACAGGGTTCCTTGTGTGACCATTTGTTTATTTTGAAAATAGACAAGCTAATTCTAAAATTCATATAGAAAAAGTATAAGATTTCTGAGAAAACTTACTGTATAGTACTGGTACTGACACATGAATAAATAGACTAACGGAAGATTTGGATTTTTGATGGGGGAAAAGATGAATGGTATATGAGTAGCCGTCTGGAAACAAATAAAAGTTAGATTAATTCCTCATATTGAATACCAGTGTGTATTCCCAATGTACCAAAGATTTGAATATAAAAATCAAAACCCTAAATTTATTAAAAGGAAACCTGGGAAAATCTTTGGAACATTGGGAATGAGGGAGGCTTTTCTAATTATGACTCCTAATTTAGAAACCATAACAAAAATTGATAAATTCAAATATCTTTTTATCAAATTTCTGGAAGTTAAAAAAAGCAAAAAACATTATCAGTAAATTCTAAAATGCAAATGACATACTGGAAAATAGTATGCAGCTTCTGGTACAGACAAGTTTAAGCACCCTAACAAATGAAGAAACCCTGCAAATCAACAAGGAAAATACCAAGGGATCATGAAAAAATAGGCAGTAGACATCAGTATACTGTTCATTAAAAAATGGAAATATAGGTGATTTTTGAAACACAGGAAAAGGTGCGTATCTCTTCAAAAGGAAATTGAAACTGAGATTCTGTGTTATGAATTAAACTGAAAAAAGTTGAAATGTTTGCTATTATAGTCCATCGAAGAAGCTTTGGAAAATGGGCAGTCTTGCTTGTGAGAGTATAAATTGGTAAAATCATCAGTGAGAATAACTTTCAATATCAAAATTAATTACAAATGCATAGACCCCTTCGATCTACAACTTTGACTTCCAGGAACTTCTCTCAGAGAGAAACATGTATAAAATGGCCCAGGTAAGGTTATTTACTGTAGCATTGTTTATAGAACAAGCTCAGAAGCCATTAAATATCCATTAATAGCAGAATGGATAAGTAAATTATGGTATATTTCTACAGTTCTACGAAAGAATGAGGGTGTTCTATATATAGTAAGTAGGAAATATTTCAGTATATATTGTAAGGTGAAAAACCCAAAGCCCAGAAAAATATCTGTAATATGCAACTATTTGTGTGGCAAGGGGAGATATAATAATATATATTAAAGTTTGTTAATATTTGCATAAATATTGGAAAGAAACTGATTTAATAATAAAACTGTGGTTATCTAATAAGAAGGGGAGAATAGGAATTGAAAGACTCAGAACAAAGTTGGAAGGTGAGACTTTGGATAATCTTAAATTTTTGCCCCATATGAATTTTTTCTTTATTAATACACCTAGAAAATAAATCGAAATTAAAAATGAATTTTGTTAAGATGATGGTGTAGCCAGGGTATATTGTTAGGCAATGATTTTTCTCTTTCTCATATTTTTGATTAAGAGAGACATCAAAGGTGAGTGTAGATGGCATCATTACTACTAAAAAAAAAAAACCCCTCAAAGTACATGCTCAACTGAAAGTTGTCAAATAACATTTATAGGCACAAAATCAGCATATTTTGTACCCTCAGGCCATTTACTGTGTTTTGCTGCTGTGTGTCTCTTCTAGTCAGTTCTGACTGCTGTAACAGATTACCATCAACTGGGTGGCCTAAACAACAAATATTTGTTTCTCACAGTTCTGGAGACTGGAAGGCTGAGATCAGCATGTAAATGTGGTTGAGTTCTTGGTGAAGGTCCTTGTCCTGTTTGGCACATGACCATCTTCTCTTGTATCCACAGGGAACAGAGATTGAGAGAGAGCATGCAAGCATGGGCAAGCTCTCTCATGTCTCTTCTAATAACTTCTAATCTAATCTGAGAGCTCCACCCTCGTGATCTCATCACCTCTCAAAGGCTCCCCTTCTAATACCATCACAATGGGGTTGTGGGTTTCAACATACAAATTTTGGGGGGACACAAGCATTCAGTCCATAGCACTGACCCCTTGAGCTGGTTGAACTGCTTTTAGAAAGGTATTATATATATATAATAGAATAGAATATATATATATATTTCACCCTTATAACTTTAAGGCTGGTTGGTGTGCCTTCTCCTTGCCCCTTTTTTGATTATTTTTCCTGATTGATTACATGAAAACATTAATATCAAGTCAAAGAAAGATTAAATAAACATAGTTAATATTAAGCAAAGATATAATAAAGGAATGGAGCTCACGTGGCTTAGTTTTGTTGTGTAGTAGGACACCCTTATGTGATTGTTGGCTAGACATTCTCTAGCACATTGAAGAGAGGGGTTAATTATTGTTAATGTTAACATTGAACATAGTGTGTTAGTTTATTTTCACACTGCTGATAAAGACATATCACACTGCTGAGACTGGACAATTTACAAGAAGGAGATTAATTGGACTTACAGATCCTTGGACTGGGAAGACCTCACAATCATGGCAAAAGGTGAAAGGCATGTTCCACATGGTGGCAGACAAGAAAAGAGAACTTGTGCAGGGAAATTCCCCTTTTTAAAACCATCATATCTTGTGAGACTTATTCACTATCACAAGATCAGCACAGGAACGGCCTGCCCCCGTGATTCAGTGACCTCCCCCTGGGTCCCTCCTGAAACACGTGGAAATTAAAGATGAGATTTGGGTGGAGACACAACCAAACATTTCAGATAGGAAAGAGGAAAATTAACATTGCTGAGTTTTACATACAGTTTCACATTTGGTTCTTACTGTAATATAATTTAGGTTGGTAAACAACCTTTCCTTTTTTACAGATGAGGAAACTGAGGCTCAGAGAGGTCAATGGAGTGAGGAATTGAACAAATGCCTGTCTTTTCAGGGCCCTCTCTTGCCACTTTACCAAGTTTACTTTTTTCAAGTAATGCATAGTCTTAGTAAAAGACCTTATGTGGGATATGGTTAAAAAGGGATGACCAAGAAAAGGAACAGAAGAGCAATGTGTGAAGAATGGAGGACAAAGGGTATGAGAAGGGGGAAGAAAGATAAACCGTGTTTGGTAGAAATGGCACCTTAGGCTTAAGTGAGGCACTTTGGGATTTTTTTCCATGCTTTTTGTCTGTACTACATTATTCTGATATGTGATCATTGAGTATAGCATTTTCTTTTTTTCTGAGAAAGTGAGATATTTGAATGATATCTCTGCAAATTTACCTTCACTGGACTCCCTTCCTTTGAAGACTGATGGGGCTGACCAGCTGGTTGGATATTCTTTGTTGCCCTTCGGGAAGCACATTGCTGATGAGGAGAAGTGCAAGCATTAGAGCAAGATTCATGTTTTTAAATGTTTCATGAGTAACTTCTTTTGTCCTAGTGATTATTTTTGTTCATGCTGCTAGTGGAAGGCCTCAGTCCTCAGTAGTAAATACAGAAATCTCAGTAGCTGATAGTAAACAATAGGGAACCCCCCCCCTTGGATATAGACAAGGGGGAAAATAAAAATGGATTGAAAATTATTTTTCTGGTTCCTTGTTTCATAGCATCCTGATGAAAAGAGATTGGAAGGCCTCTCCAAGCAACTGGACTGGGATGTTCGAAGCATTCAGCGCTGGTTTCGCCAAAGACGCAATCAGGAGAAGCCAAGCACGCTGACAAGGTTCTGTGAGAGCATGTAAGTTGCTGATTTTCTTTTTTAAAGAAAAGACCTAATACCCATGCCAATCCTGAGGTGAAAAATAACAGATCTGTGGAGGCTCCAGCAGCCCGTAAAAAGCTGCAATTTGGTGGGAAAATAGTTCAGGAAAAACATCGGAGACAGTGGTATGTAAGAATTTGTGATTTCCACTTTGGATACATTAAATAAAGTTCACTTCCTAATGGAATTTCTACAAAGTAAGCATATTATAAAAGGATCTACAATGTTATTTCAATTAGCCATCTTTGAAATATAGCATTAAAAATCTTTACTTTTATAGATGTGGATAGTTTGAATTTTAATAGAGGCAACTTAAGAGGTTCTTTGCACTAATAAAAACTGAGATATTAGGATATATTATCAGAGAATTATGACCATCTTCTATATTCCTGGAGCTTTAAGAAATGGCTATACCATATTTCTGGGTGAGTTTAGTGAAGCATGGTTTAAAGGTGGGGGGGTAGAATGGAAGTCTCTTCCATCTCTGAAATGTGAACTTTATATGGTGTATAGATTATATACCAGTAAAACTGTTAAATATATTAAAAGATGTGCAGAGAGCTTCCAGCACAGTATTATTTTGAAGTACTGATACTTCATGCACTTACCTTTAGCAAAACCAGAGAAAGATATATTGAAACATTGAGAACATCACAAAATGAAAAGAAGATCCTCCTGGAGAGTCATTACCCCATGTGGTCTTTATCTTTTAGGTGTGGCTGTTTCTATGTCTTCTGATAGTTCTTCAGTTTCTTGTTTAGGGAGCTTTTTTTTTTGACACTTGGTCATTTAAACAATAGTGCTTTCAGCGTAGCTCTCTTAGTTGCAGGCCCTTTCTATTTGGGGTTGAAGTTGCATTTTCAGCTTTGGCTTTCAATTATGTCAAAAAAGTATTTCTGTAACTGTATCCTTAGGGGGAAACCTAATGTTATAGGAGAAATGAATGGAAGGCAGAAAAATATCATAAATTCCTAGGGCTGGGTAAATACGGAGAACATAAATAGGGTCTTTAGGAGTTTACAATATTTATAAAGTCTGGGAAAAACAACCTGGTAGATACAATCAGCAAAGCCCTCTCAATAGATGAACTTACTGGCAGTTTATAGGAGAAAGATTTATGTATCTGGGCTCCTGGTCAAAAGCCAGAATTGCTTCCCAGCTTGGCCCTGCCATATATTCAAAGGGCTTGGGCTCTGTATTTGAGCCATGAGTGTAAGCAAGGGTGAAGTTGGGTCTCAGCACATGTCTACATGCTGAAACTCACACGCCATCTTTCCTTCCTCTGACTAACTTCTTTGGTAACTTGGTGCCAGCCCCTACTATGCTGAGTTTAGACCAATTTATCTCAAATACCAGTGTGCATAATCATCAGTCACCTGGGAATCTTGTTAAAATGCAGACTCTGATTTACTTAGTCTGGGATGGCACATTTTTAACAAGTTTCCACTTGATGCTGGTGCTGTTGGTCTTTAGATCATACTTTATGTAGCAAGTACTAACACTAGACCAGTTCTGTGTCTTCTCCATGAATTCAGCAGGTCATTATGTGTATACTGCAATAAATAAGACAGTCATAGTTATAATCAATTAAAAATGCTTCTAAATGATTGCTAGTGGTATGGCAATCATTGCTAGTGGAGGCACGATGATGGGGAGGAGGTGGTGCTTAAAAGATGATTATCATTTCTTCCCTCAAGAAACTTGTAATAGTGTCATGGAAATAAGACAAAATATCCAAGTATGTGTAGGTGGAAGATAGATATTAGAAAATAACCAGATATGTGTGTTGTAGATTGGTATGGATAGTCAGTAATAAAGATGAAAAAGATCAACTGTGGGCTGGGGTGCACAGGGGATTGCTGGGATTAGAACTGGGTCCGTATCAGTGGCCTTTGACCTCTCCGTTGTATGATATAGTATTGATGAAGTTTTGTTTTGAAACTCTCTTTGTCTTTGGTTTCTGAGCTACCACTAGATTCTCCTGCCTTTCCAGTGTGTTTTGTTTGCATCATTTATTTTGTGTTTGCTCTGTGGTCTTTAACGTGTTAATGATGCTCCAGATTTAGTTTTCAATTTCATGTTTTTCTTACTCTACCTTCCATTCTATTGTTAAAATCATTTCCTCTCACCAGCTTCTTCCAAAGCCATGTGTACAGTGCAGATGTTGCTTCTAAGGCATCGTTCTGCCAGCTCCGACTGGCAATTCTAATTTGCTTCTACTCCTTACTTCATTTTTCCTATTGTTTTCTACGCTTCTGTTTTTGTCATAGGCTGGAAACTCAAGTCAATCAGACACTGAGTTCTATTAATTCTTTGTAAATTCACCATGATAGCCCAATATACTATCATATGTCTCCTTATTTTTTATCTTGCATACACATAGACATATTGTTTGCTACCAACAATCCCAAATTATTTTTCTAAAATACTACTATCCCCATGTTCTAATGCTTTAAAACCTTGATGGTTTAAAGACAATGTAGGATAAATATTAGGTCCCTGAGCCTCATAACTACAGTCTGTCATTTGCTTGTTTGAGATCAGTCACCTAAATCACATCTTTCTTCTAGAGGGCTGTGTTTTCACTGTCCGTGCTGTTTTCCTTCCTGCCTTGTGTGTGGTGTTCCAGGCAAGGAACTTCCTCTGCCTTACCCATTTATCACTTCACCATTCTTCAAATCCCAGGCCCTCTCTGAAGTGTGGCCTGACTGTTGGGACTGGAATGAGCATAGCTTCCCCTGCATCCTTAGAGTACTGGGAGTTTAACCCTGAATCACATGCTGCCTTATGTGGTCACTTAACTTGCCTTTCTGTTTATTTCAGTTTCAGTTCTGTGTAGCTTGAACCCAACAGGGTCACATCTTGTTCTTTCGTTCCTCTCAGTCTTTACCCCAGCAGACTCTGCCGAATAAATAATTTGTTATGACTGTGTTAAAATGACATTGTTTTGGAAAGAGTAGCTGACCTCATTTGCTACTTTGCCCCTATAAATGAGTGCCTACTGTATACTGACTTAGCATAAAATTTGTCTAGGAGAATTACTCGACTCTGGAAAGCTCCATAACAGTTTTAAACACAAATATTCAGAGGAAAGAATGGGATGGCAAAGGAGAACATTTAGAGAACACTGTGAGGAGTATAGCAGAATTACAGTGGTCTGTGTATGCACATGTGTGTGTCATAGTTATTTACCTATAAAATAAGATCTAGCATAGTTATTTTTAACCAAGGTTGCATTTCACAATCACCTACTGATCTTTTCAAAACACACGTGCCCAGGCCACACCCCAGGGTGTCGGGATGATGACTCAGGTGGAGTTTGAACTTGTACATCACGGAAAAAAATGTCCCAAATGCCTATGACACACATCCTTGGTTAAGAAGAAAGACAACTGCTGCTCAGAAATACAAAAAAAGAAAAAAATCAACTTAGCAAGAGAATACAGATTTGGAGCTTGTCACCTGAGGGTCAAAATCTATAATTTTTCTATTACATAAGTTTTTTTTTTCCAAAATGTAAAATCCCTGCAGGAGAATTGTATTTCATCTTTCAGCAGTGTGGAACAGCACAATATACAAGCCAAACTGTGCTTGTAAGCATCTGCAGGCATGTCCAATTTCTGGCACACTTATTACATGCAGTTGGACTGAGTAGAAGCTGTTTAGTGAGTAAAATGCTAATACATTACGTGATTTTTTTTGTCTCTTGATTGGTGTCAGTCATTCACAGTCATGTCAGTTTTGACGAATATTTCTTCCAAAAGCATTTAAATTCTTATTGGAAACTGAAATAGAGAATTTCAAGAGAGAGTGAAGAATTTATAAAAATGAGATGTCCACGCCTGTAATCCCAGTACTTTGGGAGGCCGAGGCAGGTGGATCACGAGGTCAAGAGATCAAGACCATCCTGGTCAACATGGTGAAACCCCGTCTCTACTGAAAATACAAAAAATTAGCTGGGCATGGTGGCACGTGCCTGTAATCCCAGCTACTCAGGAGGCTGAGGCAGGAGAATTGCCTGAACCCAGGAGGTAGAGGTTGCGGTGAGCCGAGATCACGCCATTGCACTCTAGCCTGTGTAACAAGAGTGAAACTCCATCTCAAAAAAAAAAAAAAAAAAAAAGAGATGTCATGTGAGACATTTTATAGAAGCAACTGCTTCTGAACCCAAGCAGGTGCCAATTGGGATTATGCCTTTGGGCTGGTGAAACTGTATCATCCTTCTCTGACAATTGCATCCAAGTGGTAGGTTTTTATCATCAGGATAATATAAAATAAATAATATATTAAAAGTATTTGCTGGGTGTGACAGGAAGAGACAGAGATAAGATGTCAGAATAAATGGCATTCCTTTTATTTGGGCCCTACCTGTGCTCATCATTTTTTAGTATCATGTAGTACATTTTATAGCATAGGTCTGGGAGAAAATACTATATAGGGCTTTTATTTAAACAATCTCAAAGATTGGAAAGATGACTCCCCCATATGTAATCTGAAAATCTATGGCAAGGAATATTCACACTAGTACTCTGTGATTTTTTTACTGCATATGCTGCTGAAGTTGGAGTTTGTTGCCTAAGATGATGGCTCAAGATTCCCTTTTTTTAAAGGAATTCCATTTTAGAATTGATACTGATTAAAACTATCCCCCAATGCTGTCATTTTTGTATGCTTCTGTATAGTGGCAGCAGACTCATCAGCAGATGAAATATTTATTATTTTTCATCAATAAAGTTGGAAATTGTAACTTTATTTCTGCAAAGAAGCCCTGTGAGTTTTCTTAGTCTTTGATTCCATTGAACTCGAGCTAATTCATCATTGAAAAATGAATGGGTTAGCCAATTCCCCTCATGCTACTAACCTGGTCACTTTGAATCTAAATAGCAGTTTTTACAGCTGTTTATAAATTATCAGTGCTATCTTGTGACCTTCATAGAAAGTGGAGCCTAATAATTGATGACAGGGGAAAGGAAGTG